AAAAAAAAAAAAAAAAAAAAAAAAAAAAACCAAAAGAAAGAACAAATTCTAATCAAAACTCAAACCTGGACACAAAATCCCAAGTGGCTCTAAATACCTTTAAGATTGGTTCTCAGCATCTGCACTCAGTTAGCTTTAGATAATTCTTCTTTTTTCCTTTTTTCTTTTTTGTAGGGTAATTGAACTGAATATTCTATGATTGGCCCGCAACTTCACATGCTTCACCAATTATCTTCATCTACTATGTTGACATATCCGATCATTCCTAGGTAGTGTTTCCTGAAGCAAAAATGAGGAGGAGACTGCAGTTAATATCAGAGAATATTCTCTCACTCCATTTCTAATGCATCTCATTTCCTTTTTACCATAAAAGTACATATATATAAAAGAAGGAATAAGAATAACGCTACAACGAGATCATTCAGCTTCGGTATCCTAAATTCAATTCAACATCACAGATAATCTGGTAGCGTTTGTGATTTCAGCTGACACTTGCTAATGAAAGCTTTCAAAGAGGCTGTACTAAATTTACTTATTGCCCAGTACGCTCGTTAGGACATTGTAAAGGCATAATTTCACTACTCAACTTTAGGTTTGCGTGATGACGTGGGATCCCACATCGGTTGGGGAGGAGAACTTAGCATTCTTTATAAGGGTGTTGAAACCTTTTCCTAGGAGACAAGTTTTAAATATCTTAAGGGGAAGTCCGAAAGGGAAATTCCAAAGAGGACAATATCTGCTAGTGGTTTGGGCTGTTACAGTATTAGAGCCAGATATCGGACAATGTGCCAGCGAGGAGGTTGAACCCCGAAGGAGGTGGACACGAGGCGGTGTGCCAACAAGGACGCTAGGTCTTGAAGGGGGGTGGATTGGGAGTCCCACATCGATTGGAGAAGGGAACGAGTGCCAGTGAGGACACTGAACCTTGAAGGGAGGCGAATCGTGAGATCCCACATCGGTTGGGGAGAAGTTAGAATTCTTTATAAGGGTGTGGAAACCTCTCCCTAGGAGACACGTTTTAAGAACTTTGAGGGAAAGTCCGTAAGGAAAAGCCCAAAGAGGATAATATCTGCTAGCGGTGATTTGGGTTGTTTGAAGGAACAACCATGCTTACCAGTGTGTGTCAAAGACGAAAATTCTACTTGTTGAGTTCAAATGAGTGAGCCGCACGGCTTCAGGCTCGCATATATGCACATGTGAACACAGAGCATACAAACAGGACCAGTAAAAATTCAATCATCATATACAAGGCAATGAGATAAATAAACTTATCCATGAAAAAGAAAAAACAATTTGAATTGATGCAAATCATGTTTCCTTCTTTTTTCTGGTAACCCAAGAAAACAGCCACTTAAGCCAGACATTGCAATAATACAAACCAACATGCAGGAATAATGTTTTAATTCCTCATATCTAACGTCATTAGACAATATATTATCAAACACAAGATCCAAGCACCAAATATCTCCCGTGTGAGATCCCATGTTGGTTGAGGAGGAGAACGAAACATTCTCTATAAGGGTGTGGAAACCTCTCCCTAGCAGACACGTTTTAAAAACCTTGAAGGGAAACCCCAAAAAGGACAATATCTGCTAGCGGTGGATTTGGGCCGTTACATCCCGACATTCATGATAAGGTTCATTGGGAGCTACCAAACATTCTTATAACGAAAAGGACAATATTGAGCATACATCTTTCCCACTCTGACTATATAAAAGAAAATGTAGAAATATGGCAGCTAACTTAACAATATGAGTTTTCTTGGTTGGCAACTCAAAACATTCATGTATACTATTGAAATGTGCTATCTAAGATCTTGATCATCAAGTGCAGAATTGAAATGTGCTATCTAAGATCTTGATCATCAAGTGCAGAATTGAAATGTGCTATGATAGCTTTCGGTGAGATGCAAAAACAAAATATAATTCATGATCAGAGCATTTGGAAAACAAAATTTGTGACGAGAGAAATCGGGAGATACGACTAAAACAAATTGAAAGTGGCATTGCATAAATTTTGAATCATTGGCTCTAACCTCTGCTCGACTGCCTCCTATTAACGCTTTGACCACCAATGAAACCAGGAGAGCTTCTGGATGAGACATCTGAAGCAGCATTGCCAAGTCCATAACCAATGGGTCCAGATCCATCTCTTTCAAAATTGGAAGGTCCCCACGTGGGATCACTGTAATTAGCACTGTAGAAATCGGCCAAGGACCCGTCAAAACCAACAGAGGTAGAAAATGATGACGTTGGAGGCAAGACGGTACCACTGTTCCTCCCATACCCTCCAGCTCCAAGAGTATAACCACTGTCAACACCTCCATAATTTAGACTCCCGGAGTTACTAAAAATATGATTTCCTCCCGCTTGAGACGAGATTCCAGAACTACTCCAGTTAACTCCAGAATTGGCAAATGCATTTCCTCCGATGATGCCGCTTGCTGATCCCAAATGAGCATTGGAATTGGCAGAGTTTGAACCATTGTTGAGCCCTCCACTTCCCCACAAGTTTTGAGTTGCTGAGCTGAAGAAGGATGAGTTTCCTCCATTGCCACTTTCAAAACCTATGTTGCTAAACCTATCAGAATTACCAGTATAATACGGGCTCAGTCCCCGCCCGTAGTTGAGATTATTGGCAAAATTGGAAGCTCCACCGTACCCCGGGTTTAAACCAATCTCAAAGTTCACTCCCATTCCATAACCTGAACCAAATGGAGTGAATACACTTCGACCACTAGAAACCGGACTAAATCTACCATCCATTCTAACACCATAGCTTCCAATTGTACTCGAACTGTACCCCTGAGTATAACCATTAAGGAAGCTATTGACCCTACTCTGACCATAATTGTATCCACCAAGTGGACTACGGCTAGGACCTGGTGACAACTCTTTCGGAACTGCACGCTTAACTTCAACCATTTTTCCATTCAGTTCATGGAAAGTCTTGATAAGAACCTTATCTACTGCGTCTTCGGAATCATATGTAATAAACCCAAATCCTCTGGGTCGAAGAGTATTGTGGTCGTACATCACCACAACATCTGTAATTGTCCCAAATTGATCAAAATAGCTCTTGAATTCGCTCTCTGTAACAGTCGATGCTAAGCCCCCAACAAATATCTTTTTAGTTCGTCCAGCACTAGGAGAAACATTAATGGTACCACTGGTTCTACCTACAATGTTCTGGTCATTCCTGGGAACAGCCCTTTTAGCCTCAACCTGAGGATGAAGAAAACTCAACAATGAAGCTCGAGTTCAAATAGCACAAAAATGGCGAATGCAGACTATTGTGATTGAAGGCAAGCTGAAACGCTAATATGGAAAAGAAATTCAGTCTTCACGGAATCAAAAATTTCGAAAAGGAAGAGAATAAATACTCAACAAAACGTTTCGAGTTTCGAGTCATGAGCTATCTTTGCAGGTCCTGAGATACACATCTAAGGTTTAACACTCACCATTCTTCCATCAATATTATGCTTCTCCCTTACAACTCTATCTGCAACATTTGGATCAACAAAAACAATAAAGCCGAAGCCACGACCGCGACCTGTGATCCGATCCTTCATAATCACAGCTTCTACAACCTCACCAAAGGCACTGAAATACTCTTTAAGACGTTCTTCATCAGTATCCCAAGATATTCCACCAACAAATAACTTGCCGCTATCAGTTTGCATTTCCTTTTTCCTACAGACCACAGCAACACAAGCCATATCACTCAGATGTCCTAGCATTCATACATTTCCACTCGATTCAAATAAAAAAGGAAAAAGAATTTTAAACTCTCAATATCGATTGCAGATGTTAATATAATGAACTGGGGGTCGACCAAAATTCGTGGGGGGACAAAATCAGCTATGGCGATTCATTCTAGTAGAAGATCGGTGTATAAACATAAGCTGAAGAATTGTAATCCGTAAGTTCATGAAGCTCAAAGAGGAGGAGGAAATTGAATCAAATGCCGGTGAATAACAAATCAATAACAGAAGCAGTACCTTATTTGAATCAAGAGGCAATCCAGGAAATGTATATCCCGAGAGAACAGATATTGTAAAAATCAATTTGGGAACACTGGATCCATCGTCGATCAATTGCTCGACCGAAAATTCAACAAACCTGAGAAACCCAGAAAACATTTGAATCAAAAGAAGGATTAACGGGATCCAAGCTGAATTGAATTCCTCAGAAGATCGAAAAATGAAGTCCAGATTTCCAGAAAACCGACCGATTATCGAAGACCCAGAAAGCCAAATCTGGCAAAGCTAAGATCTGAGAGCGATGATAAGGACAGCGAGAGATGGCATTTTCATCCTTCTCTGTAAACTATGTCCCGAACTTTTCCTTACAGAATTTGATTTTTGAAAATCAAATTCGGTTTCCAAGCAGATCGGGAAATTTTATTTATGTTTAAACAAATCTGTACACTACAAAGAGAACGAACGTGAGAAACATAAAGCTTGTAAGTGTTAGTGTCACAGCCATAGAAGGGAAAATAGGTTGTGTGTGGACAAGAGTAGTGTTATACGCGAGTTGGCCATTATATACTATCAAGAGTCGAGATAGAAGTGTCTTGATGAAGGATGGTGCGATTACCAAGCTACGGGCACGAGTCATGAATTTGAAGACGGAGTTTTATTTCGGCGTGTACAAGTTAAAAATATAAAACTCTCTAAATTTGGCGTCGATCCAATAATGAACCATCCACCTTACCACGATTCTTAATCATTTTGATGTGTATGGATATTACGGTTGGTGGCGTCTTGATCTTGGCACGCTCATGACAAACATTAAAGAGAACTCAAGCTCAGTATTCATTTTTACTTAATTTTGTGGATTCGTTGGACCTTAGATGATGTTTGTCTTTGCCAACTGAACATCACTTATGTTAAATCCAAACTTGTTCGCCCATACACGATTGTGTGCATGATCAACAACCGACTTACCTCTACACTAGGTCTTGCTTTTATTCGGGGCCAAGGTCTCTCAATGTAACGTCACATCCCATCGTCTCATCTCGGTTTCCAACAACACAACCAATGCATCGTGGTGTCATCCCATGTTTCGGGACATTTTGAACATCCATCCATCCAGGTTCTCATCGAGCATTGAACTCTCTCATGTCCATGCTAGATCATTTACGACATCAATTACGGATAACAGATGCATAATCCAACCTTCGACACACGAGTTGGGGCACAATATCAGCTCACCTGTGTCGTCCGGTATTATACTTGAAAGACTTTTTTCATAGGAAGACACCCGAGTTGCTCGTCTTGCATCGCTCGCTCATGCTGCGTCAAGGTAGCTCACTTAGGCCACAAGGCCAGTGGAGAGCTAACACTATGTCTTCAGTAGAGAAATTTTCAATTTCGAGTAAATGTAAGAGCGGACATATAATCTCGTGCATGACACCTAATTCTGAAATGATAAATGAAAACTAAGTCTAACCATATATACTTCCAAAAATAATTTTATTTTTAATTTTAATTTTTATGTTTTACTTGATTATAGTTCATTAATCACATATCATATCCATTAATTAACATAAACTTTTGATAAAGGTGACTTTTCACATTTTTTGTTAATGGATTTTCTCTCTAATCAACACATTTGCATTTATCAAATAATACTTGCAATTTATCCTATGTTTTTTTTATTAATTATAAATTCTATAAAATTTTATATCAGCCTAAATTAGCCTCAATATTTGTAGACTAAGTAATTATTAGTTATTTTGATATGTTAATTAAATTTATTTACTAATAAAAATGACCATAATTAATTAAATTTATTAAAACCATATTATATATATATATATATATATATATATATATATATATATATATATATATATATATTCATAATTTAAAATGAAATTCATTAAAAATTGAGACATTTTTAGTTATTACAAGGACCACAAGATGCATTTGTGGTTATTATTTTTTTGAAACTTGCATATAATTTTCATTACCAAAACTATCCTTTTGTATTTATTTATTTCTATATGTGGCCTTATCAAAGGGTCATCTTTGTCCTTTCACATATTATATTTTCAAATCTTAATTCCATTATAAATTACATGCAATTTCTTTATAGTAATATTTTTATTTTATATTTTTTTCTTAAAAAAAAATAATTCTTTGAGGTCTACTAATTTTTTGAAAAATTTATTTATTTTTAAGTTAAACTAATAAACATGATACAAAATTACTCTATTAAAACTTATATGAGTCATTAGTCCGGTAATATATTATTTTAAAATATAATTAATTTTTATTACCTATATTAAAAATTATATTTCAAAATTTTTATTTATTTATATATATTTTTGTAAATTGATTTATTATTATTTATTGATGGATCAGGTTAAATTTTTTTAATTTATTTAATGTTTAGTAAGCCCATCCAACCAATTTAAATGGTTATATATATATTGAAGGAATTGAAATGTTGAAACTACTCCAACAAATTTCCCTCCAAATTTTGAAACAAATTTCTTTGTATATTTTGAAATCGAAGCAGTTTTCAATTTAAAATTTTCATGAATGATGTAGCATTCATGTGATTATATCGTCCTACGTTGTCCCGTAAAAGACAGCTGAATCTGCTAGAAAAATTGGGTTGCTAGAAAAATTGGGTTTTAAATGTAAAAATGATGTAGCATTCATGTGATCATATCGTCGTCCCGTAAAAGACAGCCGAATCTGCTAGAAAAATTGGGTTTTTAAATGTAAATGGTTATTCTTAAAATGGAATTATCTATTCTCTACATATTTAAAAAGATTAGAGCAAGAAAATCGAAATTATTGATACAGAATTCAAACACAGACCTCGAGTTGATGATGAATTATATCTATATCCCTTGTTTAGTGGATTTTTGTGTTCAATTTGTTTACGATGAACATAAATGTGGTGATGATCAAGTTAAGGACGTGATGATCAAGTTAAGGACACAAGGTACGCTGTTGATGAGCAGAAATTTACATGCTGGTCGTCTTTCCCACATAAGTTTGGAAGTTTGGAGAGATGCTTTCGGTAAGGTATCTTGTTTGAACAATCAATTCTTTGGCATCGTTTTGTTTGGAGTTTTTTTTCTTCTGTTTTCTAACCCATCTTCATGCTCTCGGCAGCTTGATTGATTGGCATTCACGAAGCTCACTTTTTCTATGATCTCTATGATTTTTGCTGCAATGTTGCTGATAAAGATGGCAAGATCATTATTGTTGCTGGGCGAGGGAGATTTGTGTGAGATCCCCATCGGTTGAAGAGGGAAAGGTAGTATTCATTTTAAGGTATGAAAACCTCTCTCTAGCAAATACCTTTTAAAAACCTCGAAGGGAAGTTCGAAAAGGAAAGCCCAAAGAGGACGCTGGCCCCCAAGAGAGTGAATTGTGAGATCCTACCGCGGTTGGAGAGGAGAACGAAACATTCCTCATAAGGATGTGAAAACATGTTTTACAAACTTTGAGGAGAAGTCTATAAGGAAAATCCCAAAGAGAGCGTTAGCCCTCAAGAAGGTGGTTAGTGAAATCCCACATCAGTTGGAGAGGAAAACGAAGCATTCCTTATAAAGGTGTGAAGACCTCTCTAGCATACACGTTTTGAAAACCTTGAGGGAAAATTCGGAAGGAAACGTCCGAAAAGGACGCTGAGCCCCCAAGGGGGTAGACTATGAGATCTTATATCGATTAGAGAGAAGAACGAAGCATTCCTTATAAGAGTGCGGAAACCTCTCTCTAGCAGACGCATTTTAAAACCATAAAGCTAAAGACGATACGTAACAGACCAATCAGACAATATTTGCTAGTGATGGGATTGGCATGTTAGAGTTTGGTTCAGAACGATCTTATACCCTTGGCTGACACAGTAACAAAGTTGACAGCCAGATGTGAACTTTGTGGTAAAAGAGGCTTCTTTGCCTTAAGAAAGACAGAGGAGACAAGAACCGAGCTTACCGCCGGGGCTGATGTCTACATGCTGGTGTGCCGCCAGCTCTATGCCAATGGACAAGAAGTCATACAATCTTCCAAGAACGTCCTGGGATCTCGTGCTATTAGAACTGGCTCAAATCTAGAGGCACTTCTTTCCCTTGTCTAAAATCCACCACTTATCTTAGTTTTTAGGCAAAATGCTTTGCTTTCGCCTGTGCATTTCTGGAAATAGGATATGTAATTCATCCAAAACAGAAGAGTCCCAGAGATGGCTACAAGGGAAAAGAATTTTATTGCTTGCCTCGGCAAATCCAAGATATCATTCCATAGACGTGAAGTCATTGACAAGAATCCAGTGACGAGAAATGAATTACAGAAATGGGAAAAAACTGAAGTGCAGTATGAAAAAGAGAAAAACCTTCATGCTCATCGGTCGGTGGTGGCACGGGTAGAGGAAACACGTCTTAAAATCTCTGGTTAAAAGTGCTTCTCCTCTAATAACTCTGTTCGGAATCTTCATCCCTGACTTCATCGAAGAAGGGGTCCTTGAGAAGTTCAGAAGTGGTAGGCCTTGCCCTTGGTTGTGCAATGCACTTCTCAATGAAAGCCCTGACTTCATCATTTGTCACTTTGTTTAATGCTTGGGGTTTTATTCCAGTCGTCACCTTCTTGTATATCTTGGCAATACTATCACATTCACTGTATGGTATCTCCATCGTGACCATCTCAAGCAAACACATCGCAAAAGAGTATATATCCACCATCTCTGTGTAATCTTCCTCGTACAGTTCTGGTGCCATATACTCCGGTGTGCCTATGATTGAGTGCGCAGCATGACTCTTGCCAACTATAGCTGCAAAACCTAGATCACCTATTTTCACCTGTAAACATGAGTGTAATCACGCTTCAAAACACCACAAAGATAAACAATTGGATGTACTATTGGATACTTGTGGTTTAATCTTATTTTGGGAATCATATAGACTCGCAGGCAAATTTGAGATTATATAGTTAATACTTGGATTCAGGAAACAATGTTCTAAAATGAATTTGTCTAACCACATGCACGTTCTTGTGAACAAGGGAGATTTGACAAAGCCAATCGACAAATCTTTTAATTGATCATAACCTCAGTTTTAGCTTCAATCAGTACAAAGTCAATCGACAATCATGTGTAGCATATGGACTATTATTCAAGCAGCTCAGGCAAATCTTTTAATGAGTCATCGGCATTTTTTTTGAATTTCCACAAAAGGTGATTTGCTTGCACCTAAAATAATGATCAAGAATATAAAAACCGAAAAAAAGAAAAGTCATCTGCAAAATTTATCTTAGGTTAGAAATAGTAGCATTATCAAGAGTGAAGCAAATACCTGACCAATATTCCCATTGACAAATATGTTACTGCAGTTGAGATCTCGATGAATAATGCAAGGCTCATGATTATGAAGATAATCCAATCCCTCAAGTACCTGCTTTGACCACTTCTTCAAGGCCTTAATTGACACATGTCGATGTTTCTTACGATAATCCCTCAGATTTCCTGATGTACACACCTCGGTAATGAAATTCAACGTATTGTGCTCATCATCATTCCAAACACTGTAGCAAACTATGATATAATCGTTACTCAACGTGCTCAGCAGCTGAACCTCCGATCTCAAGCGGTTGATGAACACTGGATCCCCACTGAATTTCCTCAATCGAACCTGATTCCAAGCAACCTCTATACCTTCCTCCTGATCAAATGCCCGATATACTTTCTTCACTGCTCCAGACCCAAGAAGATCATCGTATCGTCCAAACCTTCCAGTTGGATCGACCTCAACAAAAGGCTCGGCATCTCTGTCAAATGGAATTGAATTATCAGCTGGCATCTGTAAAGAGTTTCAAATTTGAAGTGAGTTGAGAAAATTAGAGCAGTGTTGGGGTCTAAAATGACAGTGACATTTATAAAGATCCAAGAGGTATTTAAAAGAAAAAAAAACGAACAAAGGAGAATATGAACCCAACCAGATAATAAACTAAGAGCTGGCAGCTGAATCCTAAAAGGAATGCGACAGAGTATAATCCTCACATTCATAAACTTGATTATTGATACAGCTAACCCAGCTTCACCTTAATCCAATAATTTCTAATAAAATATCTAAAAACCATCGATATAACGGAAGTACAGAGTCCTGACATTACTATTACAACCCGAAAAATATCATTCGTATTAAAACCAAAACGGATAGTTGAAAGAAATATCCTGACTGCTTCTTCGGCAATTCTTCATCTTGCTATTATTTTGGAATTACAACAAAAACAATAATTAAAATGACTACGAGAGGTTTGAGCAACAAAATACTCATGCATTACCATTTGAAAATGAAACGGACTTCAAGAGACAAAATTAAGGACAATGATAAAGTCCGATGAGCAAGAAATCAGAAAAATCGCCGGGAAACCATTTCAAAAAGCTGAAAAAGCAGATTTGAGGCTTTCCGGTTCACGTATCGAAAATCATATATACAGATAAAGCGGAAGAAACGCAAAGATCAACTTGATTACAGAAAATGAAAAATTGCAAACGCAAAACCTAAAGGTAAAGACATTGACAAAAAAAGAAAAGAAAATAGAACCTATTAAACATGCCAATTAACACGAAAAATTACGAGTTAGCTCTTGAAACGAGACAGATCATTAAGGCACCTGAAAATTTGAAGGAGAAACAAAACGAGGAAGAAGAAGAAGAAGAAGAATACCTTGGTGTTGATGCCGGACGGAAATCTCCAAAGAAACGGAGCGAGAAAAAAAAAAAACTTCCCTCTCTCTCTCTCTTCCGTTCAGTTGGTTTTTCCTGCGTCAAGTCGAGGCGGCAGGGTCGTTCTCCATTTATACGTGGCGCGCAATCCCGATCAAAACGCCAAAACGACGTAGTCTTGACCTTTAACTTTTCAAAATGGCATTCGCCAATTTACGTGTCCTATAATCCAACGCCTTCCCTTCCCTACATTGACTTTCTAATAATGAAATATCGTGGACTTTCAAATTAATAATTTTAATTGTTTTTTTTTAATTTTAACAAAACTTGTAATATAATTTCATATTTTATATTTAATAATCAAGATAATTATTTTTAAAAAATTAACCTTATAAACCCTATTTTTATGTTATAATTTTCTTATTTTATCACCAAAAATATATATAAAAAAAAGATTTAAAAACTATGTTAAATTTTGAATATTATAAATCCTATAATTGATAAAACACTCGTAAATAGTTTATATGAGAGTCTTAACCTCAAATTATACTGAAGAAATTCTCACCTTTTTTGAACCATAAATTTGCAATTTAACTCAATTACTCATTAAATATAAAATTGAATTTTAAATTACTCTATAATTGGATTGGACGTATTAATTATAAAATTAAAATATTAAAAAGGAACTCTTTAAAAAATCAATATGCGAGCAACTTTAATTGAATTAGAAGTAGCGTGAAGTTTTTATGTGGGTTTTTTTTTTTTTTTTTTTTTTTTTTTTTTTTCCTTCTTTCTTCTCTGCCCTCTGAAAACCTAAACACAACCCTCTTTTCCAATTTTTATATCTTTCGATCCGTAGATCGGATTGACATGATTCCTTCGTAAAAGTTTTAGATCGTGTTACGGGCTATGTCCTCGTATTTTTTCGTAATTTTTGCTTAACTACCGGATGAGTTAAGAAGGTCGGAATTTTGCTCACCATTCTCGGACGACTCTCGGATCTCCGCCTTCGGGTTGAGGTCTCAGCCAAACTTCTTCACAGATCATGTGTAGAGTTGTTCCTAGATGAATATATCAAGATTTCAGATCTTGATTCACAAAGGAAAANTTTTTTTTTTTTTTTTTTTTTTTTTTTTAATTATTAAACTTTTAATAATGTTTGTACAGAAAAATCCGTTGAAAAAGGTGTAGAAATTGAAGAGGTTCACGCATGGAGGAAGCGGATTTCATGGGTTGCCTATGCCCATGAAATTGAGTCTTTCAATCTATGCAACCCATTCACATGATTGTATTGTACAATTTTGTTTTTTTCATGATGGTTCGGATAACTACCCGACTTATTAAACTAGGCGTTAAAAGAGTTGCTACTACAACTAACGTACTTGCTGGGTTAGGGCCTGTTTGATAGCTTTAACTTTATTTTAGCTAAATCATTTTAGAAGTGCAGTCGATCCCTTCATTACTATACTATCATTGGACCAAATATGGTTGAAATATCACCCCTAGCACAATAAAGTCAAACTCAAAAATTATATGAGTCGGTTGTCTAATAAATATAATATTTGTAAAAATGATTTAAGTATTTCAGGAATAAAGATACCTACCTACTTTGTTTCACCAAAATGATTTACGCTAGTTGTAAATACCTTCCCATTGAGTTTTATCTCAAGAAATTTCAAGCCGTTTCAAGCAAAACAAAGTACAGTAGCGTTCTACGAATTGTTTTGTAATATCTTCTTAATTGGTGTTGATAAAGAGTCCGAGTGTTTCTCATAAAGAGCCGTGTTAACGATATGGTATCTATGTGAATCAATTATGGTAAACCAAGTGCCACAAGATGTTAGTTGGCGACCACATGATATACCTAAGTTTATCCCAACAAAAAGTGTAACGGCCCAAATTCACCGCTAATAGATATTGTCAACTTTGACCCGTTACATATCGTTGTCAGCCTCACAGTTTAAAACGCGTCTGCTAGGGAGAGGTTTCTACACCTTATAAGGAATGCTTTGTTCTCATCTCCAACCGATGTGGGATCTCATAATCCACCCCCTCTTGAGGGTAAGCGTCCTCGCTGGTATATTGCTCGGTGCCTGGCGCTAGTACTATTTATAGCAACCTAAGCCCATCGCTAATAGATATTGTCCACTTTGACCCATCACTTATTGTCGCCAGCCTCACGATTTTAAAATGCGTATGCTAAGGAGAAGTTTCCACTCCCTTATAAGAAATGTTTCATTCTCCTCTCTAATCGATGTAGGATCTCAAAAAGTGTCTCATGCAAATAATCTAACTGAATATAACGAGAGCAACTCCAAGTCTAAACCACCTACACTGTCTATGTGGGTTAGTCATACAAGACAGAACACTACTGAACATAACGAGAGCAACCCCAAGTCTAAACTAATTACGGTGTCTATGTGGGTTAGTCATACAAGACAGAACGGTACGACCCTCGGTGGAAGTTAACTCATCTCAACATAGCGTACATATAGAAAACATTTACCATCACCAGACAAGGAAAGTTCTTGGCAATACATTTTGTTAACGACAAGTGAACGTTTTGTCTCAGCATCTAATGGAACTCAAAAAAACATGCGCCCCCCTTGGTTTCTAATGGCTAGTTCCTGTAAACCATGGCTACATTTTCACTTCCATGCACAAGAAGCAACCAAATCCCTATCCATCCAGCCTAGATATAGAGCCCCTTCTTTCTCTTCAAGCCTATACCTGTTAGAATAGTTATCTAATAACGTTTTTATGGTAGCATTCACCAAAGAGCTTAATGGGTAGGGAGTGAATCCTGCCATTGAGAATCGCAGTCGCCACTTTCCGAGTAGCTCGTGTCGTTCTACTCTCTCTGCCCCTTCACATGCTAGTATGTTGACAACTTCCCTGGCTAGACAATGCTGCTCGATGTTGATTCGTTCCTTGTGCTGCCTTGGAAGAGTAACGTCGATTGATTCGAACATGGCGTTGTAGTAATCCAGCGTTTCGATGAACCGGGGAAAGAATGCAGCGGTGTTCGTGTTGGATTCTTGTTCAACAAGCGTCACTACCTTTGGAGACAGACCCTTAACCAGCCTCAATAGCCGATCTCGATGGTTTTCGGTGCTTACGCTCTCATCTGGCATATGGTGTAGCATGAATGCAAAGTTCACTGCTAAAGCCTCCCCTCGTCGAATTCCCAAGTCTTTCTGCTGAACGTCGCAGCCAGAGATGGCAGCCGAGTGAAACTCAAATGGGACATTAAATAACTTTGCTAACTTGGAAAGCCTCATCCCAACGATATCTAGGCCGCCTCTCCGAGCGTGAGCTGATGCAGGATCGTCTATGCCAGTTATACGAATGTGAGGCGGTCCACCAGGCCTGCCTGCAAAAGCTTGAATCAAAGTGATCCATTGAGTACCCTGAGAGATTTGGAAATCAATAATGTGTACTCTATCTTCATCTTTCATGGCTTCTGCAATGGCACCATTTGCAGACATGTATCCAAATTTGAAATACGGGCAAACATCGTACAAAACATGCATATAAGAGAGGAGCTCCATGCTTGCTGGTTCCTTGCATCTCAAAGATTTATAGATGCTACTGCCTGAGAAGGCTGACCGTGCAACCAGCCCCTCCAACATATAAGCTCCCAATCTCTGCATCGGTTCACCCCGAACCGACACCATCTTGCGCAGTTCATCCATAAGCCATTGTGCCATTAAGGCATCATTATCGGACACGGCCTTAGCACAAGCTATTAGGATCTTTTTTAAGTTCCCTTTAGTGATAGCATCCATCACTTGTCCCCAACTTCCCACTTCTGAATTCTCTGTTCCTTCCTGGTAGAAACTATCAAAACTATCAATTATATCAGAATCAGGGCCAAGCATCACAGTTTCCAATTCCAGCAGTTTGTGCCTAAAATCACTAATATCATCTGTTATGCAGGATCCGCTTACTGGTGAGCCATACGTATTGTCAGGGGAATTATGCTGATCAGCAGGACTCCCATTGGATGAGAAAGTGACGGTCGATGTCGAGCTGCGAGTTGCATAACCGTGGCTTCCCGAGGACGACTCCAAAGTGCAGTACCGATCACTGATGTCTTGAAGATTGAACTGAGCTCTTTCGTTGCCAGCATTGGTATATAATTGGCGACCTAAAGTTTGAAATTGGGAGACACAGTAGGCATCCACTCCTTGAAGTGGCTGATAACACAGTCTTTTCGACATATGTTGACCTCTATGAAGCTGAGAAGCTTGCATTTTACAAAGCGTCTACTGAACAGGACTACTTTTATCTCCACAGAAGCTAAGAGTATTCAAGATCCTTGCTCCAAGAGCTGCCGTTTTCCAAATCTTTATCCTAAGTTACTACACATATGAACTAAAATCAGCATCATGGGTACCCATGACAGCATCGGATAACATATCGACTCAAAACAGTCATTCTCATATGAGTTTATTACTGATCTAAAGTCCAGCAGAAGCCAGCAAACATAAGATAGATAGCATACTTCAAAGTTCAAACAAGCTCAAGCCATCTAACTCAAGCTGCCACAGATTCTCTCAATTCAACCTATAAAAATATTAGCACCAAGCCGACCCATAAAAAGAGAACTCAGAATTAAGAGGTACAAAGGGTCATATGCTCTATAGTTCTGTAACAATCCAAGCCCACTGCTAGCAGATATTGTCCTTCTTCGGCTTTTCTTTTTGGGCTTCCCCTCAAAGGTTTTTAAAACATGTGTGATGTGTAATAGAGAGAGTTTTCTACGCCATTATAAGGAATGTTTCGTTCTCCTCTCCAACTGATGTGGGTTCTCACAATCCACCCCCTTGGGGCCAGTGTCCTGGCACATCGCCTGGTGTCTGGCTTTGATACCATTTGTAACAGTCCAAGTCCACCACTAGCAGATATTGTCCTCTTTGGACTTTTCCTTTCGGGCTTCCCCAAGTTTTTAAGATGCTCTATGAGGGAGAGGTTTCCACACCCTTATAAGGAATGTTCATTCTCCTCTCCAACCGACGTCGGTTCTCACAATAGTCAATACACAAGACAGTTTACAGAAAGGACGAAAACCAGCAAGGAACACCAGGGAAGACATTTTTCAAGTTTGAT